TAATGAGACTTGCACAGCGTACGGTCAAAATGATATCCTCCTTCCTACTCCTATCTCTCATGAACATTATATTGATGTAATTCCTCTTACAAATATTGTACCTCTTACCGACAACTCATTAATTAATTACCCTATTACAGTAATTTCTGATTATATATCTATTCATAATCTTAACGATTTATTAAAACTAAAATCTAATTATATACAGCCAGAGCACGTTCAATCGTACTCTCTTTTTATTACAATTCTTATTATATTATTAATTGGTAACTTAATTTTCTTTCTTATTTTTACTACTGTCAAATCACTCAATAATAAAACACCCACAATCGAAGGAACAGCAGAAGAATTAACTGAACTTCATAATAATACAGATAATTGTAATGATACAACTATTGTTTTAGATCCCAACCCTTCTGTAACAAATGTAGTTAATACAAGTCACTTTGACATACCTCATTCTAGTACTATGTACTCGGTATATCCGAGACTTTAATTTTTTTTATGTATTTGTTCTGTTTAATTGGTATTAACTATTGTTTATATATATATACTTATGTATAGGTGATGGATGTTATTATAGATTAGTATTGTTTACTATTGTCTATCTTTGTATTATTATTATTGTAATTCTCTGTTTATTTTGTTTAATTTTTTTTTTTGGGGAAAACCCATTGTTTTCAATGTATTTTCCATTTTGTGGTGGGGGTGTAGTAAGCACACGCTTACTTATTACTTATTATATTATTATATTATTATATTATTATATATTTACGTACTTATCATGTACGTCACTATGACGTACATCTTTCAGGTCTCATATTATTTCCTTGACTAGCTATTTTGCAATCTGAGTAATTAACAACTTTGTTATTTGTTGTTAATACTAGTTTCTCTTGTTCTAAACCTAGTTTATGTTGTTTGTTACAATTTACTAATTTACATATTACTATTTAAGCTTATCTATTTCTCTGTACAATTGTCAGTCTTCAGCCAGTCAGTTATAACGTATTTTATTCAGTGCTTATTAAACAATTAAACATATTTTCCAAAAGTGTTTTTATTTATAAAAGTCTACGTTTGTTCTCATATACTTTATGTATGTAAAACCCCTTTCCGGGCTTACTACAATACCAATACTAAGAAACCGTATACTTTGAACAACTAAAGATTGTAAAAACACACAAACAAACACATTAAATATTGTATAAATCATCTATCCGACAATGTTCCGCAATTAACAGTGGACAGCTTAGCCATTCACCAACAACCCGGACTCGAGAATTGGCAATTGCACAACTGGAAAAAGGTCATCAATGCGGGGATGCCAAGGACTCCTTCCACTCCACCCGGATGGCCATTTTGCGTAAATACCAGCCGCTTCGCCATAGCAAGTCAGAAGTGTTCTGGCTGCGTATTATCCAAGATACCTGAAACAAGACACTCGTTTTTACTGTTTGTGTACTGAATTTATGCTTGTTAAAATACATAGCTTACTTTATCTTTGTTATTGAAAGTATTCTTTTAATTTAAAAACTTCCAAATTCCATATTTAACCTTTGTGTTCTAAGTCTTCAAAGGCCACAGACTTGACAGACTTAACACACCTAATAACCTGACATTTGCGCATGACGCAGCAACGGACGTCGAATTCACGAAATGCATCTTTGACAGTGTCATTAGACGATTTTCATATCCATTGTTATCCATTGACCTTTTTCCGGTCACCAAGGCGGGGATGCCAATGACTCCTTCCATTCCACCCGGATGGCAATTTTGCGTAAATACCAGCCGCTTCGCCACACCAATTCAGAAGTGTTTTGGCTGTGTATTGCTCCACGTACCTGCAACAAAACTCTTATTATACTGTTTGTGCATTAACTTTATGCGTATAAAAATACATACCTTATCAAATCTTTGTCATCGAAAGTATTCTTTTAATTAAAAACACCCATCTACCATCTTCAACCTTTGTGTTTTAAGTCTCCAAAGGCCATAGACTTAACACTGGCGCAGTGGCGGTACGATTGTCAAAGGCGGGACTGATCATTTCCAGCATCACACCGAAGACCAATTGAAGAATTCCAGCGCTTCTTGATCTTCAACGCTCTTTGACGACCAGACGACTCAATATAAACGCTTTATTGTGAATTAATCTATAATATAAGAATATAAGATAAGTTAATTAAGTTGATTGTATGAGTAATAATAAGCAGCTAGGCACTTCTCATGTTAAGGTAGAATTAGATTTATTTGAGGTTACGTTAGAATCTAATGAAATTGATTTAATTAATTTAGACGACAGTAACGGTAGTTCTATTATTATTAATCAGGAATCTGAAACCGACCCGGTAGACCTTTTAAACAGAACATTTAGGGAAACAGATAGGCGACTAACTAGGAGTACACCAGGTGTAGTGCATGTTGAACTACAAACAGTTAGGAAAACAAAATCTAAGGTAAAAGAAATTACACAACAGCTACGGCTAATACACCAGAAATAGAAACTAATCAATCAACGATGGCTTCAACTCCTACTTTAAGTTTAACTGACACGTTACATTTAACTCCCAAATACTCCGGTGAAACGGATACTTATCAATTTTTAAATGCATGTGAGACAACAATTAATTCAGTTATATATATAGCTTGGTATATATATATCCATTTTTTTTTAGCATATCGTAACAGTCCTCACTACTATTCAATCAAGGTATGGCACAACAAACATCTAGCATTTTATTAGATCCTAAGGAGAAAATAAAAAAAATTAAGTCACTAGGCAAGCCTAGTAAACATGCTAGAAGACGAATAAATTATAAAAATAAAATTAAAAATGTCAAACTAGATGAAGAGATAATAAAAAAAATGTACAACATTATAGAAACAATAAAAAAATATATTTAAATTTAGCTGTAATTTTGTTGTTGTATTTGTATGTGGTTGTGTGACTCTTGTCTTTATATTTCTAGTTTGAAAAAACATGGTTTTTTTCCCAGCAATATAGCAGAGGTATATAATAATAATGTTTATTTGCACCCATAGAGGACCATAGAGCGTCATAGAATAATAGTATAGTACACATACTCATATATAAGTTGTATATGTGTATGGTATTATTAAAGCGAAATCGTCCCCGCGTTGAGAATACAATTAATGTGTGAAGAATGAAAGGATAATTAAACCGTTCCTGTGGTGCGGCGTGTCTCGTTCAATGAATCTCGTATTTATAAAATTATTTTAGCTATTGTACGATGGATGTTACAATGTAACGACTCGAATGAATACGTTTGTGAACATATAATTACGAGGCGAAATTGTTTCGTCTGTCTTTCACTAAAACGTGTAGATAGGGTTTTTCACTATCAAAACTTACTATGTGAGTTAGAGCTGTTAGTTCAAAATGGACAGCGATTCGTATCCATCGTCTGCTAGAACATCGGAACCATCGTCGGTTTCTTTAGCAGATTCATTTAAGTTAATTTTTTTTATTTGAAATAAAATAATATTTCCTATTTTTTTTAAATGGTCGTCAACAGATATTACTTGTGAATCAGATGCAGACGTGTTACCACCACTTCTGCGTCTTAATCAGCCAGCTATTGAAACCATTTGGCTAACTGATTCGGATTAATATGTAAGTTAGTTCAGTTTATTTTTAAATTAATGTCAAATTAATATTTTACTGTTTCTTAGGGTCTATAAGAGGTATTTACTGTAATGGATTACTGAATCCAGCCAAGTTTACGACATAACCGATTTCTCCTTGAATATTAATAATGTACACGACCTAAATGAGTTATTCTATACTTTGTATGTAACCAAAGGTAAACAACGTCATAAATTGTAAAATCCAATTATAAATTGTAAAAACCAATTTATTTATGCAACTATAAGAAATCATATACTTTGAACAACTAAAGATTGTAAAAACACACAAACAAACACATTAAATATTGTATAAATCATCTATCCGACAATGTTCCGCAATTAACAGTGGACAGCTTAGCCATTCACCAACAACCCGGACTCGAGAATTGGCAATTGCACAACTGGGAAAAGGTCACTGAGGCGGGGATCCGAAGGACTCCTTCCACTAGAACCGGATGGGCATTTTGCGTAAATACCAGCCGTTTCACCAGAGCAAGCTAGAAGTGTTCTGGCTGTGTATTATGATACACCTGCAACAAACACTCATTTTCATTGTCTGTGTATTAAATTCACGCTTATTGTAATACATATAATACCTATTTTTTGATTGAAAGTAGTAACTTCATTTACAAATCTTCCAACTTCCTTCTTCAACCTTTTGTGTGCTAAGTCTCCAAAGGCCACAGACTTGCGGGAACTTCACACTGGCGCAGCGCGGTACGATTGTCAAAGGCGGGACTGATTGCAGCATCACACCGAAGACCAATTGAAGAGTTCCAGCCTTCTTGATCTTCAACGCTCTTTGACACGACCAGACGACTCAAAAATGAACGCTCTATTGTGAGTAATCTATAATATAAGAACATAAAATAAGTTAATTAAGTTGATTGTATGAGTAATAATAAGCAGTTAGACACTTCTCATGTTAAGAAAGAATTAGATTTATCTGAGGTTACGTTAGAATCTAATGAAATTGATTTAATTAATTTAGACGACAGTAACGGTAGTTCTATTATTATTAATCAGGAATCTGAAACCGACCCGATATACCTTTTAAACAGAACATTTAGGGAAACAGATAGGCGATTAACTAGGAGTACACTAGGTGTAGTGCATGTTGAACTACAAACGGTTAGGAAAACAAAATCTAGGACAAAACAAATTAACACAACAGCTACGGCTAATACACCAGAAATAGAAACTAATCAAGCAACGATGTCTTTAACTCCCACTTTAAGTTTAACTGACGCGTTACATTTAACTCCTAAATACTCCGGTGAAACGGATATTTATCAATTTTTAAATGCATGTGAGGCAATAATTAATTCAGTTAGTGCCGATCAAATACCGCTCTTGTTAAAAATGGTTATAAGCACCAAGCTTACGGGCCGTGCATTTAATTGTACTAAATATAAAACTTTAGCATCATGGGAGGAGTTGAAGAAATCATTGCTTGACGCGTTTGAAACACCTTTTGCAGCGGCTAACTTACAAATTCAATTAAATATAATAAGAATGAACAAAAATGAAACAGTTAATAGTTATAATGAACGGGTAGATGAAGTTTATCAAAAATTATGTAACGCTTTAGCCGCAGGGAAATCAAAGGAAGACGCGAAAATTATAAATGAAAACGTAAAAACACAGGCTCTGGTTAGTTATATTAATGGGTTAAATGAACAACTTAAATTTGAAGTTAAAACTAAAAATCCTCTTACACTTGATAGTGCTATGCAAACCGCAGTCCTAGCCGAAAAGGACTTGATCACTTACAGAGGGGTACAGGATATGTTTAAATCACAAAACGCAGGGAATAATTTTAATACGGGTCCAAATAACAACGGGAATAGGGGTTTTCAGTCACCAAGGAATAATGGCAATAATAATAATCGGGGTAACAATTTTAATGGTAATCGTCCTAATGTAGATAATAGACGTTGTAGGATTTGCAATCAAATAGGTCATATATCCTATAATTGTAGACTAAACACTAACAATGGCAATAATAATAATAGACCTCCACCTCAGCAAAATAGGCAAATTATCAATCGGGGAATTTTAATTCGAATAATGCGGGTCCCATTGTCTGTAATTATTGTGGCAAAATCGGTCACGGGGAGTCTGTTTGGCATGAATAGTGCATTGTGGGCGGACTAGTTGCACAGATGGTACTATAAAAACCTGTTTCATCGTTAAAACGTTTAGTATATTAATTTTACCCATTGTGGCCTCACGAACTGCATATAAATAAGCTCAAATATGGATCTCGGTATCAGTCAATTTCCAAACTTGCAATTGACACAATTGTACTCGTCGCGCAACAAAAATTACAACGATCATGGACTTGCAAGAGACCGAAGTGTTCACCCAGGAACATCCGCCGACTCCACCGACAACGCCGGTGAAACCGAAAAAACAAACAACTCTCAAACGGCGATCCAATACAAAAATGGGGTTTTCTTCAACACTGGAACAACAGAATAAAAAAAAACAAACCAATCAAGTAATAGAACTAGTGGACTCCGAGGACGAATCGAATCAGAAAACATGGAAAGAAATGCAATCTACAACTCTGCTGAACTTACCGTTGAAAACCATCGTAGACCTGGCAGACTTTCAGTATTTTTCGGGCTTCATGGAAGTACTATTGACGGACGACGTACTAATACAAACGTTAACGCTAATGCCAACAATTTCGGTGGTCGTGATGATGGCTATTTTGGTGAACAAGAACCCGATGCCGAACTTGTCCAGAGCCGAAGTATTATCAACACTGCTAAACTTCCAGCTCTGGAAAAGTCCGACATTAAGAGTCATGATAAACTTGAAGAACAAAATGTATTCAATTCCGGTATCCCTCGATCCAAATACCGAAAACGCTCAGCACAACAAGAATCTGTTCGATTCGTATCTAATACTGCTGGGTCAGATTTATTGGAAAACAGAGGATTGCTTAGAGAATACGCCGTTAAGTTGTATAACGAATATATGGGAAGAAATTCCGCTTACCTCTCGGACATATGTGTCCCTGAGGGACGCGAAGAATTTATTAAATTATATGATGAACTTAACATGGGACTCCAACAATGCGATCAATCAACGCGTGAACAATTCCGACTCGCCTCAGAACACGGCGACCACGTCCACATCGTCCACGCGTGTACTTACTCAAACGCAGCTTGTCGCTGTTCCTGGCTCCGTCGCAGCAGCATCTGGAGAACACGTAGAAGAGTTCGATATCGACGACGAATTTTCGTCGCTGAATTCGAAATTGACGACTGGGAAAATATCCTTAGATATTTCTCTACAAAAGGACACGCAATCCAAGACTGCAAAGGCTCATGTCCTTATGGAGGACTATGTTTACGAACTCAAGATGTACAAGTAAGTTGTGAATATCATTTTACGTATTATCGACTAATGCCTATGAATTATAGGAAGGAGGATATACGCAATCTAGACAAGTCTCAATGGTACACCCGTGTCCACGTCAAAGCGGTGGGGACAGTGAAACGAGATCATCCGACCAAGAAGAAACTGGACGGACTGGTTGGCGATCTCATGGCCGATTTAAAAACCAAATCAAATCTGCGAATGGAGAAGACGTTCACTTATGGCCAAAAACATTAGACGATTTATTACTAACATATCCGTGCTGCCCGCCAGACGCCTTTTTTAACATTAAAGAATTTTACGATAATCCCAAATTAAATTACTTAGACGAATCGTCTAAAAAAGTTCGAGTCGCCTTGCGCAATTGGTGTGCCCGTATTGCCGAATGGTCCATATCTGATTTCGATAAATTTTATAACGCACCAGGTGTATTTCCTTATTTTAATGCTTATGCTCGTCAACACGATCAAGTGTATTACGACGTTAATTTTTCAGTGAAAATAGCCAATGATTTATTAGAATTACAATGAGTACGAGCAATCCCCGTGTAGTCTTTATGAAAAGAGTCGTAAATCTTGCTTTAAATAATTGCACCAACCATCTTGCACCCAGACACACATTAAATACCATAATAACTGAAGTAAATTCAGAGTTAATTATAAAATTTGATGACCATTATTTGAGAAGCATTGAAAAAGATATTACAAATTTAATGAGGGAACTTTATGGGTCCTTACGACCATACAACATCTCAATGGCACTCGTAAACGCCGCCATAGAGGGGGATAGCTTATTAGATCCAATTTTTGAACATGAAAATACGACAGATAAAGCGAAATATTTTACTAAAGTACTAAAAATAGCATTTGAAAATTGCACTATTTATAGAAGAAGACGATTCGTATCTAATACTGCTGGGTCAGATTTATTGGAAAACAGAGGATTGCTTAGAGAATACGCCGTTAAGTTGTATAACGAATATATGGGAAGAAATTCCGCTTACCTCTCGGACATATGTGTCCCTGAGGGACGCGAAGAATTTATTAAATTATATGATGAACTTAACATGGGACTCCAACAATGCGATCAATCAACGCGTGAACAATTCCGACTCGTCTCAGAACACGGCGACCACGTCCACATCGTCCACGCGTGTACTTACTCAAACGCAGCTTGTCGCTGTTCCTGGCTCCGTCGCAGCAGCATCTGGAGAACACGTAGAAGAGTTCGATATCGACGACGAATTTTCGTCGCTGAATTCGAAATTGACGACTGGGAAAATATCCTTAGATATTTCTCTACAAAAGGACACGCAATCCAAGACTGCAAAGGCTCATGTCCTTATGGAGGACTATGTTTACGAACTCAAGATGTACAAGTAAGTTGTGAATATCATTTTACGTATTATCGACTAATGCCTATGAATTATAGGAAGGAGGATATACGCAATCTAGACAAGTCTCAATGGTACACCCGTGTCCACGTCAAAGCGGTGGGGACAGTGAAACGAGATCATCCGACCAAGAAGAAACTGGACGGACTGGTTGGCGATCTCATGGCCGATTTAAAAACCAAATCAAATCTGCGAATGGAGAAGACGTTCACTTATGGCCAAAAACATTAGACGATTTATTACTAACATATCCGTGCTGCCCGCCAGACGCCTTTTTTAACATTAAAGAATTTTACGATAATCCCAAATTAAATTACTTAGACGAATCGTCTAAAAAAGTTCGAGTCGCCTTGCGCAATTGGTGTGCCCGTATTGCCGAATGGTCCATATCTGATTTCGATAAATTTTATAACGCACCAGGTGTATTTCCTTATTTTAATGCTTATGCTCGTCAACACGATCAAGTGTATTACGACGTTAATTTTTCAGTGAAAATAGCCAATGATTTATTAGAATTACAATGAGTACGAGCAATCCCCGTGTAGTCTTTATGAAAAGAGTCGTAAATCTTGCTTTAAATAATTGCACCAACCATCTTGCACCCAGACACACATTAAATACCATAATAACTGAAGTAAATTCAGAGTTAATTATAAAATTTGATGACCATTATTTGAGAAGCATTGAAAAAGATATTACAAATTTAATGAGGGAACTTTATGGGTCCTTACGACCATACAACATCTCAATGGCACTCGTAAACGCCGCCATAGAGGGGGATAGCTTATTAGATCCAATTTTTGAACATGAAAATACGACAGATAAAGCGAAATATTTTACTAAAGTACTAAAAATAGCATTTGAAAATTGCACTATTTATAGAAGAAGACGATTCGTATCTAATACTGCTGGGTCAGATTTATTGGAAAACAGAGGATTGCTTAGAGAATACGCCGTTAAGTTGTATAACGAATATATGGGAAGAAATTCCGCTTACCTCTCGGACATATGTGTCCCTGAGGGACGCGAAGAATTTATTAAATTATATGATGAACTTAACATGGGACTCCAACAATGCGATCAATCAACGCGTGAACAATTCCGACTCGTCTCAGAACACGGCGACCACGTCCACATCGTCCACGCGTGTACTTACTCAAACGCAGCTTGTCGCTGTTCCTGGCTCCGTCGCAGCAGCATCTGGAGAACACGTAGAAGAGTTCGATATCGACGACGAATTTTCGTCGCTGAATTCGAAATTGACGACTGGGAAAATATCCTTAGATATTTCTCTACAAAAGGACACGCAATCCAAGACTGCAAAGGCTCATGTCCTTATGGAGGACTATGTTTACGAACTCAAGATGTACAAGTAAGTTGTGAATATCATTTTACGTATTATCGACTAATGCCTATGAATTATAGGAAGGAGGATATACGCAATCTAGACAAGTCTCAATGGTACACCCGTGTCCACGTCAAAGCGGTGGGGACAGTGAAACGAGATCATCCGACCAAGAAGAAACTGGACGGACTGGTTGGCGATCTCATGGCCGATTTAAAAACCAAATCAAATCTGCGAATGGAGAAGACGTTCACTTATGGCCAAAAACATTAGACGATTTATTACTAACATATCCGTGCTGCCCGCCAGACGCCTTTTTTAACATTAAAGAATTTTACGATAATCCCAAATTAAATTACTTAGACGAATCGTCTAAAAAAGTTCGAGTCGCCTTGCGCAATTGGTGTGCCCGTATTGCCGAATGGTCCATATCTGATTTCGATAAATTTTATAACGCACCAGGTGTATTTCCTTATTTTAATGCTTATGCTCGTCAACACGATCAAGTGTATTACGACGTTAATTTTTCAGTGAAAATAGCCAATGATTTATTAGAATTACAATGAGTACGAGCAATCCCCGTGTAGTCTTTATGAAAAGAGTCGTAAATCTTGCTTTAAATAATTGCACCAACCATCTTGCACCCAGACACACATTAAATACCATAATAACTGAAGTAAATTCAGAGTTAATTATAAAATTTGATGACCATTATTTGAGAAGCATTGAAAAAGATATTACAAATTTAATGAGGGAACTTTATGGGTCCTTACGACCATACAACATCTCAATGGCACTCGTAAACGCCGCCATAGAGGGGGATAGCTTATTAGATCCAATTTTTGAACATGAAAATACGACAGATAAAGCGAAATATTTTACTAAAGTACTAAAAATAGCATTTGAAAATTGCACTATTTATAGAAGAAGACGATTCGTATCTAATACTGCTGGGTCAGATTTATTGGAAAACAGAGGATTGCTTAGAGAATACGCCGTTAAGTTGTATAACGAATATATGGGAAGAAATTCCGCTTACCTCTCGGACATATGTGTCCCTGAGGGACGCGAAGAATTTATTAAATTATATGATGAACTTAACATGGGACTCCAACAATGCGATCAATCAACGCGTGAACAATTCCGACTCGTCTCAGAACACGGCGACCACGTCCACATCGTCCACGCGTGTACTTACTCAAACGCAGCTTGTCGCTGTTCCTGGCTCCGTCGCAGCAGCATCTGGAGAACACGTAGAAGAGTTCGATATCGACGACGAATTTTCGTCGCTGAATTCGAAATTGACGACTGGGAAAATATCCTTAGATATTTCTCTACAAAAGGACACGCAATCCAAGACTGCAAAGGCTCATGTCCTTATGGAGGACTATGTTTACGAACTCAAGATGTACAAGTAAGTTGTGAATATCATTTTACGTATTATCGACTAATGCCTATGAATTATAGGAAGGAGGATATACGCAATCTAGACAAGTCTCAATGGTACACCCGTGTCCACGTCAAAGCGGTGGGGACAGTGAAACGAGATCATCCGACCAAGAAGAAACTGGACGGACTGGTTGGCGATCTCATGGCCGATTTAAAAACCAAATCAAATCTGCGAATGGAGAAGACGTTCACTTATGGCCAAAAACATTAGACGATTTATTACTAACATATCCGTGCTGCCCGCCAGACGCCTTTTTTAACATTAAAGAATTTTACGATAATCCCAAATTAAATTACTTAGACGAATCGTCTAAAAAAGTTCGAGTCGCCTTGCGCAATTGGTGTGCCCGTATTGCCGAATGGTCCATATCTGATTTCGATAAATTTTATAACGCACCAGGTGTATTTCCTTATTTTAATGCTTATGCTCGTCAACACGATCAAGTGTATTACGACGTTAATTTTTCAGTGAAAATAGCCAATGATTTATTAGAATTACAATGAGTACGAGCAATCCCCGTGTAGTCTTTATGAAAAGAGTCGTAAATCTTGCTTTAAATAATTGCACCAACCATCTTGCACCCAGACACACATTAAATACCATAATAACTGAAGTAAATTCAGAGTTAATTATAAAATTTGATGACCATTATTTGAGAAGCATTGAAAAAGATATTACAAATTTAATGAGGGAACTTTATGGGTCCTTACGACCATACAACATCTCAATGGCACTCGTAAACGCCGCCATAGAGGGGGATAGCTTATTAGATCCAATTTTTGAACATGAAAATACGACAGATAAAGCGAAATATTTTACTAAAGTACTAAAAATAGCATTTGAAAATTGCACTATTTATAGAAGAAGACGATTCGTATCTAATACTGCTGGGTCAGATTTATTGGAAAACAGAGGATTGCTTAGAGAATACGCCGTTAAGTTGTATAACGAATATATGGGAAGAAATTCCGCTTACCTCTCGGACATATGTGTCCCTGAGGGACGCGAAGAATTTATTAAATTATATGATGAACTTAACATGGGACTCCAACAATGCGATCAATCAACGCGTGAACAATTCCGACTCGTCTCAGAACACGGCGACCACGTCCACATCGTCCACGCGTGTACTTACTCAAACGCAGCTTGTCGCTGTTCCTGGCTCCGTCGCAGCAGCATCTGGAGAACACGTAGAAGAGTTCGATATCGACGACGAATTTTCGTCGCTGAATTCGAAATTGACGACTGGGAAAATATCCTTAGATATTTCTCTACAAAAGGACACGCAATCCAAGACTGCAAAGGCTCATGTCCTTATGGAGGACTATGTTTACGAACTCAAGATGTACAAGTAAGTTGTGAATATCATTTTACGTATTATCGACTAATGCCTATGAATTATAGGAAGGAGGATATACGCAATCTAGACAAGTCTCAATGGTACACCCGTGTCCACGTCAAAGCGGTGGGGACAGTGAAACGAGATCATCCGACCAAGAAGAAACTGGACGGACTGGTTGGCGATCTCATGGCCGATTTAAAAACCAAATCAAATCTGCGAATGGAGAAGACGTTCACTTATGGCCAAAAACATTAGACGATTTATTACTAACATATCCGTGCTGCCCGCCAGACGCCTTTTTTAACATTAAAGAATTTTACGATAATCCCAAATTAAATTACTTAGACGAATCGTCTAAAAAAGTTCGAGTCGCCTTGCGCAATTGGTGTGCCCGTATTGCCGAATGGTCCATATCTGATTTCGATAAATTTTATAACGCACCAGGTGTATTTCCTTATTTTAATGCTTATGCTCGTCAACACGATCAAGTGTATTACGACGTTAATTTTTCAGTGAAAATAGCCAATGATTTATTAGAATTACAATGAGTACGAGCAATCCCCGTGTAGTCTTTATGAAAAGAGTCGTAAATCTTGCTTTAAATAATTGCACCAACCATCTTGCACCCAGACACACATTAAATACCATAATAACTGAAGTAAATTCAGAGTTAATTATAAAATTTGATGACCATTATTTGAGAAGCATTGAAAAAGATATTACAAATTTAATGAGGGAACTTTATGGGTCCTTACGACCATACAACATCTCAATGGCACTCGTAAACGCCGCCATAGAGGGGGATAGCTTATTAGATCCAATTTTTGAACATGAAAATACGACAGATAAAGCGAAATATTTTACTAAAGTACTAAAAATAGCATTTGAAAATTGCACTATTTATAGAAGAAGACGATTCGTATCTAATACTGCTGGGTCAGATTTATTGGAAAACAGAGGATTGCTTAGAGAATACGCCGTTAAGTTGTATAACGAATATATGGGAAGAAATTCCGCTTACCTCTCGGACATATGTGTCCCTGAGGGACGCGAAGAATTTATTAAATTATATGATGAACTTAACATGGGACTCCAACAATGCGATCAATCAACGCGTGAACAATTCCGACTCGTCTCAGAACACGGCGACCACGTCCACATCGTCCACGCGTGTACTTACTCAAACGCAGCTTGTCGCTGTTCCTGGCTCCGTCGCAGCAGCATCTGGAGAACACGTAGAAGAGTTCGATATCGACGACGAATTTTCGTCGCTGAATTCGAAATTGACGACTGGGAAAATATCCTTAGATATTTCTCTACAAAAGGACACGCAATCCAAGACTGCAAAGGCTCATGTCCTTATGGAGGACTATGTTTACGAACTCAAGATGTACAAGTAAGTTGTGAATATCATTTTACGTATTATCGACTAATGCCTATGAATTATAGGAAGGAGGATATACGCAATCTAGACAAGTCTCAATGGTACACCCGTGTCCACGTCAAAGCGGTGGGGACAGTGAAACGAGATCATCCGACCAAGAAGAAACTGGACGGACTGGTTGGCGATCTCATGGCCGATTTAAAAACCAAATCAAATCTGCGAATGGAGAAGACGTTCACTTATGGCCAAAAACATTAGACGATTTATTACTAACATATCCGTGCTGCCCGCCAGACGCCTTTTTTAACATTAAAGAATTTTACGATAATCCCAAATTAAATTACTTAGACGAATCGTCTAAAAAAGTTCGAGTCGCCTTGCGCAATTGGTGTGCCCGTATTGCCGAATGGTCCATATCTGATTTCGATAAATTTTATAACGCACCAGGTGTATTTCCTTATTTTAATGCTTATGCTCGTCAACACGATCAAGTGTATTACGACGTTAATTTTTCAGTGAAAATAGCCAATGATTTATTAGAATTACAATGAGTACGAGCAATCCCCGTGTAGTCTTTATGAAAAGAGTCGTAAATCTTGCTTTAAATAATTGCACCAACCATCTTGCACCCAGACACACATTAAATACCATAATAACTGAAGTAAATTCAGAGTTAATTATAAAATTTGATGACCATTATTTGAGAAGCATTGAAAAAGATATTACAAATTTAATGAGGGAACTTTATGGGTCCTTACGACCATACAACATCTCAATGGCACTCGTAAACGCCGCCATAGAGGGGGATAGCTTATTAGATCCAATTTTTGAACATGAAAATACGACAGATAAAGCGAAATATTTTACTAAAGTACTAAAAATAGCATTTGAAAATTGCACTATTTATAGAAGAAGACGATTCGTATCTAATACTGCTGGGTCAGATTTATTGGAAAACAGAGGATTGCTTAGAGAATACGCCGTTAAGTTGTATAACGAATATATGGGAAGAAATTCCGCTTACCTCTCGGACATATGTGTCCCTGAGGGACGCGAAGAATTTATTAAATTATACGATGAACTTAACATGGGACTCCAACAATGCGATCAATCAACGCGTGAACAATTCCGACTCGTCTCAGAACACGGCGACCACGTCCACATCGTCCACGCGTGTACTTACTCAAACGCAGCTTGTCGCTGTTCCTGGCTCCGTCGCAGCAGCATCTGGAGAACACGTAGAAGAGTTCGATATCGACGACGAATTTTCGTCGCTGAATTCGAAATTGACGACTGGGAAAATATCCTTAGATATTTCTCTACAAAAGGACACGCAATCCAAGACTGCAAAGGCTCATGTCCTTATGGAGGACTATGTTTACGAACTCAAGATGTACAAGTAAGTTGTGAATATCATTTTACGTATTATCGACTAATGCCTATGAATTATAGGAAGGAGGATATACGCAATCTAGACAAGTCTCAATGGTACACCCGTGTCCACGTCAAAGCGGTGGGGACAGTGAAACGAGATCATCCGACCAAGAAGAAACTGGACGGACTGGTTGGCGATCTCATGGCCGATTTAAAAACCAAATCAAATCTGCGAATGGAGAAGACGTTCACTTATGGCCAAAAACATTAGACGATTTATTACTAACATATCCGTGCTGCCCGCCAGACGCCTTTTTTAACATTAAAGAATTTTACGATAATCCCAAATTAAATTACTTAGACGAATCGTCTAAAAAAGTTCGAGTCGCCTTGCGCAATTGGTG